ATACAATATATACAGACAAAAATTACATTAATGATGTCTAGTCCATTAACATTTGACAGATTCAGATAAAAAAACTCCACTATATATATTAACAATGTCCAGTCCAGTAACATCTGATAAACTCAGACCAAAAAATTTTCATTACTTATCTTATGTAAAACAAGTAGTTCCTTTTTAAAAGTAGATTCCATAGTCTCCCTTTTTATCTTATCATATCCATACACAGTGAATTCTAGGACAGCCAAGGCAATGTAGGCAATGTAGAAAAAGCCTGTCTCAACAACAATAGAAAATTAACATGGTGAATTCAAGTCTATGCAAAGGATTACAGTCAGGTGACACCCACCTGTACTTGATAGGTAGAACCAGATAAGTAGTTCAAGGCTAGCTTTAGCTAAATATCAGGACCTTATCAAGGTCCAAGTCTTTAAACTAGTACTTGGGATGCTGAAGCAAGGAGAATCACAAGTTTGAATAGCCAGCCTGGGCAACTGAGCAAGATCCTATCTCATACACTAAGACTGTCTAGAAATATTAGCTCAATGGTAGAACATGTATAAGGCCCTGGGTTCTGTCTCTATACTGCAAAGAGATTCTCAACCTCCACAGAATGAGAAGGAGTCATAGTATGGTGCTGTGGTCTAAATAAGAAATGTCCCTACAACCTCAGGTACTTACCACTTGGTCCCCAGGTGTTAGTGCTTCATGTTGTGGTGGAATGTGTGAGCCCTCAGCTCCCTGCTCCATCTGCCTGCTGTTATCCCTACCCACAACTATAGACTCACCTTCTGGAAGCATAAGCCAAAATAAACTCTTTCTTCATTAAGTCTTTTGGTCTTGGTATTTTATCATAGCAATAGGAAGGCAACTGATGACAAGAAGGTTCAACATTAAAAAAATTAATCAATGCAAACACAATGAAGGACAAAATGACAGGATCATCTCAATGCAGAAGAGCATTTGATAATAATTGATGCCTCTTCATGATAAAAATCACTCAAAATACTAAGATTTTTTTAAGTACCTCAATTTTTTAAAGCCATTTTGAAATACCCCAATGATAGAAGAATGAAACATATTACTTTAAGATTAAGAAAAAATGTTGTGTAGCTGGAGTTTTTTCTCTCCAGGTCCTGCCAAGCCCCATCAGTCTGACAGCCCACTTATAAAATAAACACACAGATGCTTATATTATTTACAAACTGTATGGTCATGGCAGGCTTCTTGTAAACTGTTCTTATATCTTAAATTAACCCATTTCTATTAATCTGTAAGTTGCCATGTGGCTCATGGCTTACTGGTACCTTACATCTTGCTTGTCATGGCAGCGCCTGGCAGCGTCTCTCTGACTTAGCCTTCCGCTTCCCAGAATTCTCCTCTCTCCTTGTCCTGCCTATACTTTCTGCCTGGCCACTGGCCAATCAATGTTTTATTTATTGACCAATCAGAGCAATTTGACATACAGACCATCCCACAGCAGGTTACTAATGAAGT